GTCCTTTCGCTTCAAGCTGTCGGCATTCGGAATTCTGAAGCAAACTTCCAGCGATCCCAAACTGCAAGGGACTTCCGCCTGCTCTTTGGACGGCTCCTCCGCCTGCGAGCTGAAGAGAAACGCCTTCAATAATAACAATAATAATACTAATAATAACAACAACAATAACAGTAATAAAAGCAACAAGAATAACTTGAGTACTAAAATAGATAGCAATATCAATGGTAATAGCAATGATAATGGTAACAAGAATAGGAATGGTAGCAACAGTATTAGGAGTAGCAACAGTATCAACTCGTTTAGCAACAACATATTAGCAATGCTCGTGCAGCTGCTGACTCGGCGAAGCCAGGATTTCAACAAGGGTCCAATCTTTGAAGTGCTAACTATCCTAGACAGAACTTGAAATCCAGCCGGAGCCCTTCCTCTTGTTCTTTATGCCCTTGCCTTGATGTAGTGTCTCGTAGGCTTCCCATGCCAAATTGGGCATGCGATTGTGTACATCCAGCCATCATCTTCCAGCGCGAGCAAACGCACACAAGTTTGTGTTGTAGAGATGTGTGTAGATCGTGGCTGCACTGTACAGTCTAATACCTTCAACAGTGGGAGAGGACTCAATAGACCTGTTGGCAAGAGAAGTGAAACTCGTAGCATAAGCTCTAGCGTGATGACCCAGTAGGTGTCTGTTGATCTTGTTGCTGCTGCCTTTCCTCCATCACCATGACCACCTGCCCGCCGCAGCGGATTCCACCTCGCCTACCGCACCCCGCCCCCGCCCCCGTGAGTCACCCCGCCCTGCAATTCAATGCACAGGAGTTAGCAGTGGTGGGATGTCAGAGGGTTCAAACCCAAAGTACTTCCAGGGTAACTCCACCTCACGCAACCTTTTTGACTCTGCCAGTAATTCTTCTGTTCATCGAAATTGTCTGCCCGTCATGAACTGAACAAGACCTGCACATGTAATACATAGTGTTGCAACCTCATGTCTCCCCCTCTCCCGCTGTGAGCGGCCCGGCACATCGGAAGAGCTCATGCTGAGCTGCTTCTGTGGGCGCATGCCCCGGATGGAGCCGCCAGATCTTAATGATGATGCTCATCGTACTGACATGGATAGGACCGGACGGGAAAACAAGCTAATTGCAATAACATCAAAGCGAGTGCAACGGAGTACAGAGATGGCAAGGTAAAAGCCGAATTCTGAAGTTCATGCGTTGCCTTGGGTAACCCTGAAGGTGCGTCCGGCTGCTTTGGTCCTAAGCGAAGTCGCGTAAGACACCATGATTCTTCTGATGTCTTTTGCTGTAGTATGTACAATGTTCATGGCAATTGTGGCAAATCTCTCACAATTCTTTTTAGTAGAACATTTCAATAAGTATTGGGTCGCATGATTAAGATTCTGGAGCCTGCGGCTTCCCGCTCGCTGTCACCACGTTGACCGCTCTCGAACGAAGTTGCTTTCCGCAAAGCGGAATGTGCACCCGAAAAAAGGTCCTGGAGTGAGTGAAGATGAACTAAGCCATACTTGGTCTTCGCTGGTTCCTTTCAAGGGTGGGTGCTTAACACAGAGTATCAGTTACAAGTTACACAAATCAACAGGAGGCAATCATACACGCGCTCCCCACGAGAAAGGACCACCGCCCAATGCCAGAATTCAAAACGACAGCGCCCCGAACCGTAGATCAAACCCACCCTGGCATCCCTTCCCTACATAACCCCTCTAATAATATGGTAGCTTCCATTTCCTCGTCCATATTCCCTATGACAGGGTATACCCCCTACACCCTAAAGCCCCAAATAGTCTCAAAGCCCTAATCCCCAAACCCTAATCCCTAAACCCCTAACCCCAAAACCCAAGACCCTAAACCCCTCAAGCTACATGCTTAAATTGGACATTCGGAAAGCCTTCGACACCGTGTCGCGGCTTCGACTTGCAGAGAAGGTAATCCAATGGGCGGATGGGCGGTTCCCGGCAGAGGTCAAGTGTCTTCTTCGGATGCTCATGAGCCGAGAGGTGGTGCTTTCCCTCCCATGGGGTGAACATACCATTGATGCGAACATCGGGGTCAAACAAGGGGCCACAGAATCTCCGCTCCTCTTCGCTAAGCTTCTCGACGACGTCCTCTCTGACATTGAACATGTACAAGTAGGACCGGTGTTGGAGGAAGTCCCTGCGGACGGAGCCTGTTTTATGGACGATGTTATTGCTTGGAAATCCTCCATCTCAGCATTACAGGCGTTCATGGACAAGCTTTTACCGAGCCTGGCTAAGTACGGCCTCCACATACAACCCGCCAAATGCGTCCTAATGTGCATTAAGGGCTCCAGAACTACCCCCCTCATGCTGGACGGCATGCCCCTGCTACCGCAAAAGGAAGAAGACGTCATGTATGTCATGAACCTCCCTGTGGGGCCGGAATCTACAGAATCAAGGGTGATGGAGCATCTGGTGGATAGGGCACGCAAGAAGTATTTCGGCATTCTGCATATACTGCAGCTGCTCTGGGGTGCAGGATCAGGCTCCTCAACACGGTGGTCTTTGGGGTCCTTCGGTGGGTGGTCGGTGCCCTGTTCCCCACCCCCCAGCTGCAGGGCATCCTGAACTACTTTCAGTACAACTGCATTAGAAGGATGATGAAGATCGCAAGGAAGGTTGATGAGCTATGGGTCGATCATGTAGCTAGATCTCTAAGATTGGCGAGGGCAATGATCTTCAAACACGACGGCAAGAGATGGGGTGACCGGCATGTAGAAGCGCACTGGGAATTCCTTGGTCACAGAACAAGGGGAATTGAGAGAGAGTATCCCTCTGCTGCTAACAAACTTACATGGTATAGAGGGCTTCCATGGTGGCAGGAAGAACAGCGAAGACAGGCAGGGAGATGGCATGGAAGACACTTTCCTCACCTCATGAATTGTGAACGCAAGGTTTCTCAAACGGTCAAAACGACAGCACGGAGGGAGGTGGCGCTTGACAGAGTCCGGTGGGCCAACCACAAACAGGGCTGGTGTAACCAGAATGAGATTGCTTGGTCGTCAGGTAGACAGCTTTCCTTGATGAACATGGAGTGAAGCCAGTGCCAGCTACATGTATAGATGTGCTATGAGAATGTGCGAGCCAGGGTTGCAGTTGTTGGACGCGAATGACCCACTGGCTCCAGTGGTGAAGTGCGTTCCACCTTGCATAACCACACGCCAGCTGATTTCTTGCCATGGCGCGCATGATGCTGGCTGCTTTCGTCTACGTGACCTACATGAATGATGCGATGAGCGACTTCCAAGAAGTTGGCCCGCCGCGTCCCTTTTGGACTACACGTGATGTGAAGTCGAGTTCTACAGCGATACCCCACCTGAGGCCAACACCTGAGGGTGACATGCCACACCCGACTGCCGAGACCTCAGGGAGATCAAATCCTATGCCACGCGGAGGACAACATGCTGGCTGCCTGCATCAGATAGTGACGGTGGACGAGCAAGCTCACTTTGTGAAGAAGTCGTCAGGGCTCAGGGGCCAACCAGGGCAGGTGGAGGAAAATGGAAACCCCGGGGACACTGACCTGACCGGGAGTGCTGTGGTGGAGCAAGACATCGACGGAAAGGCCAACGGAAAGAACATGGAGCCGGAAGCCATCATCGTGACGACATCGCTCCGGCCAAGAGTGGAAGGAGGCGCCGCCGAGAACCACGTGGATTCCAAGGATGATGCCAAGGGTCAGCAAAGGAAAAAAGAGCGAGCCGGGGCCCCAATGAAGAGACAAGCCGGTGAAAAGCAAGTGGGAAGCGGTCTGACTGAGAATAGTAGCAGGGGAGCAGACCCTGACAGGGAAGGACCTTGGGCCATCATGACGGAGGGTGAGGTCATGGAAGAGGGCAAGGATCCGGACGAGGAAGCCAAGCACCAGCAACGAGGAACTGAGCGCACCCAGGATGACAACGACAAGGAAATGCAGCAGGTGAGCGAAGGCAGGGACCGAGATGCTCACCCTGAGAAGAAGCCCAGGGAGCTGAACAATAGCAGTAATGGGATGCAGAATGACTTCGACGGCAAAAACATGGCCTTGATGCAAAGACGCAAAAGGGGGAGGAGGCGCAGAAGGTATAGAGGCGCGGAAGAAGCAAGACGTGCTGCCAATAGGGCAAGATGGACGGTAAGAGGAACGCCCTCAAGAGCACCACCAGCGCGGACCAGGACGAGCTCAACAAGGGCTTTTCCGCCGGCGCCGTGGAGCAGACGATCGGCCCCTGCCGAGGAAGAACAGGCGGTTTGTGTTGAAGAACCGGAATCAGAAGCAGCAGGCTCGACGGCCCCACCTGGAGGGCGACCGGCTGGAGAAGCTGCCACAATACCTGGCTTGGACGACCTTGATCCTCGCATCAGGTGGTGGAGCGATATCATAGGATTGACAAATCCGATGAACTCCACAGAAGGCCTGACGGTGCTGGCACCAAACACTACTACCACTGTAATCAGCAACTTGCAGGACCACGGGGGAAATTGAGAGGGCTAGAACAGTCCGTAGCGTCCTCAGTTTCCTGGGCCTCTTCATAGCAGAGCTATTACGTGCGATCCACGATGCCGAACACGGTGATCGCGTCGTCCTCATGCAGCATGCGGTTGCACTCGGGCCAGGAAGCTTCGCCAAGATCCTGACTCAGCTGCAAGAGGACCTGGAGAAGATGGGAAAAGCCAGGGCTAGAAAGACGTCAAAGCACATGCTGAGGCAGCTGGAGAACATGGACAAGAAGAACACGGGAATGAGGTCACAAGACCGAATGCTAAGGCTGACGGCTCTCCTGGTGGCATATGAGGAGGGAGAAGTGGAAGACAGTGACGCGGCCCTGAGCGGGACTGGGAACCTTCATGGCTATGGGCAAGAGTGGAGCCTTTCCTCAAGAAGGGCCCTGGACAGGGAGGAACGAAGGTTGACGAGGATGACGAAGCCGAGGGCATCCTCGTAAGAAGGGCGCCGGGACAGCAGTGGGAGAAGCCAACCAGGCATGAGGCAGCACGACAAGGAAGTCGAAGAGGAAGCAGCCATGCAGGAAAGGGCTGATGAGGAGGTATACCAGCGGATGCAGGCCAGCCGTCTACAAGACTGGGAGGACTGGGCGATGACAAGTGAAATGAATGAGACCGGTGAAGCGGGTCAGGGTAGTGATGGTCCTGGGGTCTGAGGGAGGGCATACAGTCGCAGAAGGGGTCATGGAAGGGACGATGCCGGCTGAGGCGTCACCAATGGTCACCATGACGATGTCCCACGTGCTCCTTGGACCAGGGTCTGCCCCGCAAGTCATGGGACCGCCGACGCCGGAAACGGTCCTCGTGCCCCACAACCAGATCGAGAACCAGATGGCGATAACGGATGACCCCGTGAACCTGGACGAGTTCCTTACGTCGGAACATGGCCAAAGATGGTTCAGGAACTGGCAGTCAGGGCAAGTTGACAGCGACATGGTTGCTGCCAGGTGGGGCAAGGAGGTTCTCGAATTGTTCATAGTGACCAAAACTATTGAGGACGACCCCGGTGCCCTGGACACACAAAGGAAACCGGAAGGTGAGGGAAGCAAGGAAGACAATGTGAAGGCAGCAGGGGATCATGGGAGCAGGGACAAGGCTGTGGGTCTCGTGGAACCTGAAACTGAGATGGCAGGGCACACCCAGGCGGACCAGGAAGAGACGCAGGACGTGATGGACGAGGAAAATGAGGACGAGCAGGATGAAGATGTGGTACTGATGCAGAACCCAGAGATTCCAAAAGCCCTTAA